ATTGTGTATCACATCTTGAGAGGCTAACGTTAGCACAAATGTCAAGTGCCCAATAAATAGTTCATTGATCAGAGAATAAATATGGCACATATGAACTGCCAGTCTTTCTCAATCAATTTTTTGGGTCTTCACTGACACTAAGGTTTCAGAATGTTCTTATAGGAAATTCATTTTGTAAATTAAGGTATGACAACAAACTTAACAGAGGAAAAAATGGCTTCCTATTTAAACAGTGTCATTTCTATTGGCCCTGCTGTCTTCACCTTCCAGTTTTCTCTTTATACAAAGTCTGGGTCATGGGGAAAGTGATGAGGCTTCTTTTTTTTTATTTTTTTGATTTAAATTTATTTGCATTCATTCACTGTACATCATTACTTTTTTCCTTTTTTTTTTTTTTTTTTTGAGAGGTTTTTGCTATAGGGCATGTGCACTCGCCAGAAATACAGAGAGACAGAAAGTGAGAAATCACACCCCCCCCCCCGGGAGGATGGCCATGCTGCAATCCCTTCTCCTTCTTTCTCCTCTCAGGATCTAGGCGACGCATGCACACGTGCCCCACATGAGTTTAAGCCATCAGTTCTGGGACTTGAACCATGGTCAGCTATGTGGGAGTCCAGCTATATAGCCATTACATCATCTGCTGATCCCATGATAAGGTATTTTTACGTAGAAAAACACATCGTGACTTTCTCCACAACCCAATAAAAAGCAAGGAGAAGTACATATCCAAGCTGTCAAACCTTTGTGCTTGGGCAAAGCTGGATGTAACTGATGTGAAGAGACTGAGCTCCCAATAAAATGTATTTGGCAGCAAGTTCATCTTCAGACTAGGGAAGTCTTTTGTCTACATCCCAGTTCTGCACACTTAAAACTCTCTTTTCTGGAATCCATACCATGCTCTCGATCTCAAAATCCTTAAACTTCTTTAACACTGTTTTTTAAGAAAATTTTTTATTTCATTTTATTTGTGATTATTTTCCAGTTTGCTACAGGATGTCCATACTCACCAGAGGGAGACAGACAGAGGGAGAGAGAGAGAGAGAGAGAGAACAAGCCATCAGGTCTGTGACTTGAACCATGGTCATCCATGTGGGAGTCCAGTGCCTTAACCACCACATCACCTGCCAAAAACTTTTCAAAAAAGTCATAGTTACCTGCATTTGTAAGACTAGATGTTTTCAGGTCAAATGGTAAAGCACAGAGTTGGAAGCTCCTAAGTCTAGCAGTGCTCTGTGGTGTAAATATGAAAGAGCAGGAAAAACCAGAGCAGTAACCTTTCTTGCTGCAGTTGAGAACACAATCTTTAAGACAGAAATGATGACCAGTGTTGGTTACGTGGTCTGTAAATGGCCAAAAAGCCTTCATTGTGCATTTTATTCTAAAGAGAGCAGGGCATAGAAGACATGATATAATTAGTTTTAGTTAAAATTACATGCATGACTTTCTGTTAAAATCCCAGGGGAGAAGAAAGATCCCTGAACTATCTTTACTAGACATCATTGCATATTCTGTTCTGAAATTGTCAGAACAAGTTTTATTTCACAGAATATTCATACCCAGTGCAGCCAAGTAAAGATATCAATGGTAGTCAAATAGCATCACAAAAGGTCTTTATTTTTTATTCTGGAAAAATGCACATATGTTTGAGTATTAAACTTAGAGACTATATCTGTTAATATGCTTTAGATAGAAAAGTAAAAGTTCTAGGCTTCAAAATAAATGATAGTACATTTCTATTTTTACATTCTTTGCACCACTGTAACAGCATAGTACACATTTTATTGTCTGTCCTAGAGACGGGTGTGTTGGTAAATTGTAGGCAAGCTGTGACAGTCAGTATAGCCCATTGTAAAGTCCTGCTTATAAGAAAGGCCCAGCAGTATGGAGATTTACAACGTATTTCATTGTTCTTTTGGTTAAGGAGAAGCGTTATGTGATTATCAAGTGGACAGGTTCTTTTTCTGTGGCCTCTCTGGTTTTCTATCAATGTGCTGCTGTCTATGAGACCTGCTTCCCTCTAAAATTCTAGAATGACCCTTTCATATATCTACTGGTCCAGGCAAGCAGGATATCCCCCAGTAATACTTGTACTTTTCTGGGACTCTACTAAAATGATGGCTTTTCTCCCTCCCCACAGTCTAGTTATATCCAACAATACCTAAACTGGTAAGAGTCCTGGACTCTGGCCTTTTCCCCAAGCTGGACCTTCTCACTGGATATTCTTTGTGCCCAAGTTAGCCACTACCCCATCCTAAACCATAGTCTTTCTCTGTAAAGGTTGAGTAGAGACTTCAAGTAGGAATGAGTGGAGCTTTGGTTGCCACTTTGGAAAGATGTGAGTGCCTCCATAGCAACTTAGAGGCTATGACAGTTGTCAGAACTTTTATTTTTTTAATGTTTTTTAACTTCATTGTATAGGAATTTCAGTGAGATGGTTATAAAATATAATTAGACAACAGATATGGAGTTTCATTTTTGAAATATGTTAGTACTTTTTTTTTTTTAAGGTGTAAG